TGCCAGCTTTAGTCATGAGTTCTGGCCTGAGAAGAAAAATTCACAATCCTTCTAAACTCAGTGTCTGCCTGTGTAACTACATACACATATTCTAATTTTAATTAAGATTTCATTGAGTATTCTACAAGAAACAACCAGAATTCTACTATAGCGTGTTACCACTGATGTTATGCTGGTGTGCACTAAGGTACTCCAGCAGGTTTCTTTTTGGTTTTATTCTGCAATGCTATTTATCCTCAGTTAGAACTCAATGCACAGTGCTTCAGTGAGAAAGTCAAGTAAGCATACTAATAGCAGATTACTTCGTTCGCAGTTCATACTTCCAACAGATGATTTTTAAAACCTTCTTACTGCTAGTAGGCCACGTGACTACTGAACAACTTTCAGCTTTTCACATCAGTCTTCTCTAAGGTGTTTCATAACAGAAAAGAACCCTAACTCTAGCAATACCCAAGTAATAATTATGGGGAGTACTACTCTGTTCCACGCATTTAAGTGGCATGCAAGATTACAATACCCAAACCAAAAAAAATTAGGTTTACAAAACTGCCTGTCCTGTTTAAGTAAAAAAATGTTAAGAATGCCTTATACATAATGAAGTAAGATAAAACTGAAGGACAAACCTATCTGAATTTTAAATTAATAGTTCTGAAAATTTGCATGACCTCTCTTGATCTCTCCAGCAGAGCATGCAGGCTAGAGAGATCAGACAATTTGTTCCAGTGAACTAGCTCCTAGCTTCAATTTCTAAGTTTCCCCTTTCCATTAGGTCACGTCCCTTAGTTTGTATCATTTTGCCATCTCTTATCATATTTATTGTGGAGTCTAATACACATCTTTTTCAGTTTCATCAGTTAAATCCCAGGAAACGAGTAATGAAAATCGTTTCTTGTTCAGTTTGATTTCAATGTATGCACATTACCTGTATGGAGATGCCAAGACACCCCAACTCTAGTATATTAATTTGAGCAGAGACTTAAGGCTACACACTTTCTTGATGAAGATTTCCCCTGCCTTCGGCTAGTTTTATATGTGTTTTCAGCTTCAATATCAGCTTCAAGCAAAGTGAGTTACTCTTCTGTGGATTTTTTAAGTCTTGAAGATTGTTTGGGGTACTAATAAGTTCTTTCCACTTGCCACTAATCTCTAGTTCTTGAAATAGCAATGACCTTCAGACAGATTTTACTGTCCTGTACCAAGGAAGCCTGGATGAGCTGGTCATTCAGATTATGAATGACTGAAATTCCTTTACTCTGTTTTTATATATATTTTAGGATGAAAGTAAAGACAAGAAATTGGAAGGGAAGTAGCAAAAAACATGAATTCAACAACAACAGAAAAGTAAACATAGGTAGGTCTGGGAACTACTGGGCATCTAACCCAATGCACTAAAAGCAGGATTCATTTTACTGTGTTATTTCTAGGACTTGCCCCCCTCCCCCTTTTTGGGGGGGTAAATCATTGACTTTAATGCCAAGACTCAGAGAGGAGTATTCTGTAGCAAAAAGAGTTACACAAAAGAAACATAAAGATACTGCAGAGAGGGATGTGCATCTTCGTATTACATAATCAAAAATGTATAAAATGTATAAAAAAAGTCTTTTTTTAATTAAACTGAAAGGGAAAAACCAAACAGCAATTCAGAAAGTGAGGAAACATGCTGAAAAAAAATACATAAAGCAGCACTTGTCCAAGATGGCAGATGACCTCTCTCTTTCGCATTCAGTAAGACTGAATAATAACCAGGCTGGAAATAGTCAATGTTTATCCAGCTTGCTCTTAATTGCCCTTTCTGAGATCCCTCAAACCAGAGGCTATCCAAGAATTTAAATCTGGCCTTTGTTGATCAGAAGCATTGTGTAGAGTTCATTACATTAAAATATTCTGAGAGAATTAAAGGTAATTAATGATCTACTTCCTTGGCCAGCCTGCTCAGGAAGAGATTTCAATAAATTTGCCAACACACAGTTCCTTGTATAGGAACAGTAAACTTGCAGGTCTAAAGAAGAATGACTATTTTGGTGTCTTGAAATCTAACAAAATCTGAATTTATTTTAACATTGTCTTCTGTTTTGCCCATTAAGAAAGTTTCAAGCTTTCATTGTACTTACTGAAATACACTAAGGAGACAAACTTCAGACCAGATAAACATAGAAGCAAATCACCACAGGGAAAAACAGCTAAGTGTTTCTGTAAAATAATCAGCATTTTAAGAATCTGATAATAAGAGCCAAGAATTTACATTACCTCTAAAAAAACCCATCTGTATCCAGAAAATAATCACAAAGCTTATTAAATAACTTACCTTCTTCATGTACTCTGTGACTGGATTCTGTTGCAAGAATTCAGTACTTTCTCGTGTATAAAATCTCTCTGTGTCAGCAAGAAACTGAGATTCAAAGGATTCTTTATAGACAGTTAGTGTAGGTCCTTTTGCAAATGCATCATCTTCATTCAGCCCCAGCTCCACTACAAAAAGAAAAAAAAAAAACCAAAGAACAAGTAATGACAAAATTGTCTTTTTTTGAAGTGGTCTCTTGCAAATAAACAGGTACCCTCCATCAAACTTACATGAAGGTAATCGATTGGGACAGTGTCAGCACTACTTTTAAAAACTTTTAAAAGTATACATTTATTTTGCATTTAAAAATAAGCAGCACAACATATTACTTATGTAAACTGCACTTTTTAATACATTACAAAATGGATGAAAGGATTTGGAAAAACTTCACTATCTCAAAAGCTAGTTCAAATTCCCCTTCCATTTTTTCCTCTAGGAGTTCCAGATTATATGCATATATGTTTTTTTATTAATGAAACTGGTCATTAATCTGCATGGCACTCTCATTTTCATGCAAATGGGAAAAACCAATGCCACTCCACTTTGTAAACTGCTATGCTTCCCCCCTTCCAGATTTAGCTCCTAAATAACTGATTCATAAACAACGAACACTCCTGTCCACTAGTTGTGCTTTCAAGCTTTACAAATATTGTATAATCAACTGTAATCTTGTCAAGTGTCTCTACAAACAGGAAGTGAAACAATATATAACTGCATTTATTTTACTGTAAAAATCTTTACTGGACATCCAAGAAGGTGGGATGCTACTTCTGGGCTCTGATAGGGGATATGTATTTATTTATTTTTAAGAGAGTAATAAAATCTTAAAGAAATGTCATTTACCGTAAGATTGTACAACTCCACTGATCAGCCTTGTATTGATAGTTTCACCATTTCTTTCCTTTTCAATCAATTTCAACACAGCATTTGTTACCTTAGAAAACAGAGGATTAAAAGAATCAAGCACAGAGAAAGTAGCTGGTAGGTCAAGCACAGTATTTAATCAGGAGTGTATTCCTATATTCAAGACAAGTCAAGGCCTTTGAGAACAAAATTTAAGGACACCTGAACATATAAAATTCCTACAGACATCACAGAGTGTGCTACACCTTTCAGTTCTGCAATGTAATTACAGTCCAATTAGTGGTGAGCTACAAAATCGTATGAAAGTGCTTAGTCTTTTTTTTTTTTATTTCAAAAAGCACCTTCTAAACCAAACTTCTGTTTGTTTTATACCTGAAATACATGAAAACTTTGCAGTAAGAGTTGAACTAACCACCTGTATTTTACGCGAAGAAAGCTACTGGCTTATGTTGATAAATAATGTGTTGCAACTACTGTTCCTCTAAACTGAAATCTAGCTAATATTTTCATAACATAATACAGTCTTTTCATCATGAAGTACTGGTAAATAAGAGTGAAATCAACATACATAAATATAGTATTTTGTTGTGATGGAATGTCTTGTTTCATATCGTGCCATTCACTAATTAAAAATATTTGATTGACCTGAATCTCCCAGGCATCAGTGTAAATTTAAAGATGCACAGTAACATTAGAAGACACCAAAATCCCAGGCCTGTCACTATCTGTTCTCACACAATCTTGACTCTCAAACCTTAAGTCATGACTGTCAGCCTGTACTCCTGCCTGGCTTGGAAACAGCTGAAGTTTTTACTTTATTTAAGATGAGCCCCCGCTTAGTTTTTTTTTTAAAAAAAAAAGCCAAGGATCCTCTCAGCAAAGAGATAACAGAACAGTCTTGGCATCAAGGTTCAATCACACACACACAAAGAAAGGCCCATTCCCCCCAAATATTTATCTTTTTAACATCACAAAGGAGAAGCAGAAGGCTCCCTTTTATTTTCCAGGTCCAGTCTGGTC